CTCAGGCTTCCCCCAGCAGAGCTGGACGAGGTGTCTGGGGGAGAGGGAAGTCTGGGAGTCTCTACTGAGACTGCTGCCCCTGTGAACCGGTTCACGATTTGGAAAAGTATTATTATGAGTGATTTAGAGAAGATCCTAATTTAATTCAAACCGGTGTACCAGATATAGTAAAATAGGAGTAAGGTTCAACAATGTGGGGAAATGGGTCTTATCTTATCTTATCTCTTTTCTCTGTAGACACCACAATTACAGAGACCTTAGCAGCAACTACATGGAGGCCCTGTGGATGGTCTCTGTCACCTTCCTGTCCATCGGTTATGGAGATGTGGTCCCTCACACTTACTGCGGCCGCAGCATCTGCCTGCTCACTGGGATCATGGTGAGACAGAAGAAGATTGTTTAATTCACCAAAAAGTCCACTTTCACCAAATCCTAAGAAACAATCTCGGTCTGCAAACAGGGAGCCGGCTGCACGGTCCTGGTGGTGGCAGTGGTGGCCAGGAAGCTGGAGCTAACCCGAGCCGAGAAACACGTCCACAACTTCATGATGGACTCCCACATCTCCAAAAGGGTGATAAACATATAACTCTTAATAATGAAAACAACAACCTACTTTGTTAGCATATATTTGTGTATTTAATGTAGATCAACATGAAAACAAATTAGAAATTTGCACCTAATCTATCTACAAAAATCCAAATTAAGGTGATTTAAAAAGAGCAAAACACTGTAAATAACAGAAACATTGTTTCCCTTAACAGGTGGATTTATTCACTGTTTAACACTGTTAACAGGAGAAGACTCCTGTTTTAGTTATAAAAGTTGTTGTAAAAGTTTTTAATGAGTCAAAACGACGAATGCAGCTCTCAGTTCTATATACGGTTTGTCTGTGTTAGTCAGCACATCCTGTTTTTAGCTGCACTTAGAGGCTATGTGCATAAACACACAATAACTCTTGATTTTCTGCATCCTTTCACCAGATAAAAATTGCTGCTGCAAATGTGCTGAGAGAGACTTGGCTTATCTACAAGCACACTAAGCTGTCAAGAGAGCGAGACCACACCAGAGTCCGCATGCACCAGAGGAAGCTGCTGCTGGCCATCCACCAGTAAGACTCGTTTGTTGTTTGTTTGTCGTTTTGTTTTGCACATATCATCTTTTCTGTTTTAAACGTTGTGTTGTTGCTTAATGCAGGGAAACGGCCAAATATCAGATTTAATCTTATTTTAAATCTGGATACAGTTTACTACACTTAAACAACTTAAAAAAAAAGCATTTCTGCATCAAATATTTTATTTTATGTAAATAAATAATTACATAACATTTTATATTTTATCCAGTCAGTCAAGAGGTATATGTTTTCAGGTTTATTAAGCTTCCTGTCTATATTTAGCAGCACCTGCCACCATGATACACAGGTCATCTCTTTACAGTTAAATTCTATAACTCTTCTTTTGAGATGGAATTTGCTGCATCTGCACTCTAGGGACTGATACTTAAATTAATCAGTTAAAAATGAGCATCCACCACTAGAATAGTGTCCAGAGGGCATCAATGGAAACATTCTGTTATCTATAAAATGATCCATGTGTTTCCCTACATCCTTTTATACATTTTGTACTATAGCAACTACACACCTCAGCAAAGTAGGCTTGATTATCGAGGAATAAAAAGGTTTTGTTTTATGTTTTTACAATGCAATCTGAAATGTGTGGAATGCATTTATATCCAGCCACTCTTTAGAATCAGTTTTTGTTGCAAACACAGTCATAAACATTTTAGAGACTGGAATTTGTTCCCATTGCACTTTGTAAAGCACTTCAACCTGAATCAGTCTCTAGTTCTGGTCCAGTAAGAGTGGCTTGTTCCAAATATTTGCTCTGTCCTCTACATCACATGTATTTAACCCTGTTCCTCAACATATTTTAGGTGTTCCCCAACTTCCACACACCTGACTTAATTATTGTCTGATCAACAGGACTCTCCAGCCCTTTGAGGCTGCTGGGCAGGAAATGCAATCATTTGAGGCACAACATTTTTTGTGAACAACTAATTTTTGGCCTGTTGACAGATCCTCCCACCTGAGCTTTAAATCTGTGTAACTCATCCAGAGTTAGCATTGGCCTTATCATTAAGGCTCTACTTGCCCAGCCACTCATTTTAATTAAGGGGGTTTGCGCTTTTTACTTTTACTATACTCACCTTAAATAGAGCTCTATGAAATATTAAACGCTGAAACTTAAACTCCACAGTTTTATGATTGACCTGAAGGTAGATCTGCTCTGTTCCTTAGTCTTTGTGAGATGGTTTGTTCTTTAATGTTGTCTGAATCAATCTCTGAGGCCTTCAGAGAACAGCTGGATTTATGCTGAGATCAAATTAGATGCAATTAGAAACTTTTCACTAATCAAATGACTTTGGAAGGCAACTGGCTTCTTTGGATGTTATGTAGAAGTAATAGAAAGGCGACTGAACCAAAATGAATGCAAGCTTTTCAGATTTCCATTTCTCCTGATGAGTGGTGATTGTCTTTCCCTCTTTAGGCTACGGAGAGTGAAGATGGAAAAGAGGATTCTTGCAGATCAGGGAAACTCACTGGTTGACCTCTGCAAGGTGAGAGAGGCAAGTGAAGGCATCATGTACAGTTGCACCTGAAATTATTTAGCCGCCTAAGAGAAATTGGTTTGTGAGCTAAATATAAAAGCATGCAACCCATAGTCAAGAAATCAAACAATAACAATTAGGACTTCCAAACCCATCACCAAATAGAACTCTTAAACCCCTATGTCCTTAGGAATCTGGAAATCATTCTGACTGTATCTTTATGGCTGAATCCCAAACCGCTCCCTAAGCACTAACACTTCACTATCAAGTCTCACTCGCAATAAAGTCACACTCGCAGCTGTGGAAGGCACCTTGATTAAAGGTGGGGGAGTATAAACGAGAACGGGAAGGCTTCTTGCCTCATATGGAAAAAGAAATGAGTTGTTGCTAAGGCAACACAGTGACACCATGTGTGTGGCTGTAGCTCTGTTGCACAGTGTGACATAGAATATAACATCTGTCCCTTTCTCCTACTTACCGTAAAAGAGGACCTTCCATTTTGGAATTAAATGCATTTCTTTCTCACTTGAGATGTTTCTGTGTGATGAAGATGCAGTAAATCGGGACATTTTAATGCACGTGTTTTCTCTGCCATCGAGCCGCTTTTACACTTGCTGCAAAATTCCAAAGAGCCTGCCCTTAATGCAGTATCGCTATTTAAGCATTGAACTGTCCACTCACCCTAACAACTAAAGGGTTTGGGATGGCACTTAATGTGGCGGACCATCGCCTGAAAGGGCAAACGAAGGGTTAGCAATCAGGATTATGCTTAGGGGCCGGTTATGGATTGGGCCTAAGAAAAGAAACTTGAGTTTATTGAAATTATGTTTGATTAAACCACATAAAAGGTCATTATCCTTAACTGGAAAAACTAACCGCATCTGAACAGATAGTATGATTTATAGACTATACCTCTCAAGTAAAACATTGCTCTCTTTGTTAATACCTTGAGAACACTTTTTTTTTCCCAGTTAGCAGGCATTCAGAGGCCTTAGCACAGTTAATGTTGCGTTAAAAATCTTGAGGGGTTTGTACTAAAATGTCAGGAGTCAAACCAAACTCCCTTACACTAAGCTGGATGATCTAACAGGATGTGCACGGGAACACAACCAGATGCTGACCCCAATTTGATACCAATAACCTTACAGAAGACATATGCAATGGATGCGATGTCTGGGTTGTTTTAAACAGGACTAGGCTACAATTATGACAACAGACTTTCTCAGTCAGCCTTCATGCATTTTGCAAACAAACCCAATTTTTCAGCATGGATTAAATCATTTTATCTGCAACTGTACCTCCCTGAAAAGAAAAGTGCTCAATTGAACGTTGGTATAAGTCCTTTTTGTCTTCCCTCTATCTCCACCAAATTTGCACACAGATGCAAAGTCTGATGTACGATGTTCTGGCAGAGGTGCAGGGCTGCAGGGGGGAGCTGGATTCGCACATCAACAGCCTGGTTAAGAACGTAGAGGAGCTGAGGGAGGGCTTCAGGAGCCTGATGCCGCTCCTATCCAGCACTCTGTCCACACAGAACTCTTCCATCCGCCACCTGCTGAGGGAGAGGGAGGAGAAGAGCGAGTGTGCCAGCGGGGCAGAGGGGTGAGGAGCAGAGGGCTGTCTCCAGTGCTTTTTTTTTTTTTTTCTGAGCTATGGTGACCATTCTTGGACAGTTTTCCTGGCTCAGGTGGGATCAGTTCCGTGATTATGAAGTGAACTTTGTGCTGATGTTCATAAAACTATATTTAAAAAGAAAAACATGTAGCAGAAACACAATCATGAGTAGAAATTTGTCCTAAATGGCTTTTTTTCAAGACCTTTCTCCTGGATTAACAAAGAAAATCAAACCTTAATCAGAATATTTAAGTCTTACGGATCCTACTTTAGTCAAATTTTACAGTTGACCTGGTAAGAAATTACTGTCACCCTTTGGATGGTTTCTCCAGTTTTAATGTAATTTTAATGTTTTAAAGCAACCTGCTTGTTTTATAGAACTGTTCTTCCTCGTCTTTAAGGAGCTTCATCTGTAAACACATTTTTCTGTCACTGCGCAATAAACATTATAAATATTTAAACTGTGTGGTATTGCTATAAAAGCACAAAACATTCAAAATTATTTTGTAAAGACACGGTAAAATTAATACACATTTTACACTTTATCAGAGTAATTTCTTTAATTTATTTATACGTAAGTCAGCTTTTATGATGTTGAAGAAAATAGATTAACCTTGTTGGGTTTTTTTTTTTATCAGCATGTTCTTAAAGTCAGAAACATTATCTAGATGTTTGCTTCCAATTTAGATTGTTTTGAAAATTCCTCTTCCTCAGTTTTTAGATCAGCTCTGAACAAATTAATTAATCTACCTTGAAGTTTTTGTCGCAAATTCAATTCACCAAGTTGACATGTTAGATCAATGAAGAGGCAAAATACAATACTTCAGGAATATATATAAATAAGAAACGAGCGAGACTGTGGGCTTAACTGTCACAGACACCTCTAGAAGGATGATAAGTCCCTGAAGGTCACTGATGAAGAGGCTTACTGTTACTTATATGTAAATATATGAATGGAAAGCTTAGTGGAAGACGGAAGTGTGTTCTCCTCTGGACTGGGGTTTGATTTTGCCCTTTTATCAATCAAGCTAAGTGCATGTAGAGATGTAAATCATCAGTCTCTCTTGAGGCAGTGTGAACTTTCCATTCAGTGATGACAGGTCATGTTGTCCACTGTGTTTTCATCCAATACAGCCCTCTAGTCCAGAATTTTTAAGAGTTCATTTTTTCCTGACAGCAAGCTTTGCACGGATGCTTTCATTTTCCAAGCTGAACTTGGCACCTGCTCAAACTATCCAATGCATCAATAACCTGCAAAAATAGGTATGGTATTAGTGCATGTAATGTAGGCCTGACATTAACCAAAATAGTGAACTGGGGAGGAAAAAAAATCAAAGAAATGCATGCCCAGAGACCACAAAGCTGCCTGAACAACCTAGAACTCCAGGTTGATCTCCTCAAAGCCAAATTGCAAGCAATAGAGTAACTCAGACAAGTTATTCTTACATATACGGCACAGTACTTGTAATTTTAATTTTGCATTTGTGCAATTCTGAAGCTTTCAAGGAAACTAAACTTGTAAATAATGTCCGTTATCTCCTTACAAATTACTGTAATAAATTTAGACACCTGTGAAATTAATGCAAAAATTTGAAGTTGTATATTACAGACAGAACCACAGGAGCTTCAATTACAAATGTAATAAAAGATTTTAGTTTTTCTGCATGTTCAATATCTCAAACAGATGGAAACTGTAGTTCATGACTTAGAATTTAATCTTCAACTATAGTTTATTCATACTTATGGAAGGGGCTCACTTTTCCTTCACCATTTGAGGATCATTTGACTAAAATCTGGAAATATACAAGTGCATATTTTAAAATGTATCACTCTGGACAAATTTGATTTTGCAAAAGCAAAGAGGTCCCTTAGCACTGAAACGATGACTCCTATTCCAATCCAAGAAAATAAATGAAAACTTTATTCATTTATTCATATCAACATGAAGTACAAACTGCAATAAGAACCAGATATGAATCCATTTCTTTAGCCAAAACATTTTATTTAGAGAGACGGGGTTGGAGGGTGCAGCCAAAGCAAACATTTGGTCAACATGAGCAGAGAAAGCATCTGCTGTCCTGTCAAATCGCCCGGTCTTGTTTCAAATCGGGACCACAGGCTCCGCCGTCGCAGTCTTCTCGGAGGCAGGAGACTCTTGCATCAACCAGTCCATCCCCTCCTCTCCCCTCCAGCTACAGGGAGACGGTTAGTGCTGCTTCCTTCTGAATGAGCACCCTGCAGGAGGAAACAGCCTGTTATTCTACAGCTGACAGAAGCCTCACTAAGCAGAAACACTGCAGTCAGAACACAGCTATAGTTTGGCACATAGCTGCTGAGCACATGCTTTAAATAGAATATTTCTGCATTTTTCCAAATTTGACAAACACAAGATATCTAAAGCGATCAAAGATATTGTTTGTTCTCTGCCTTCGAAAGGAGGAAGCCATGGAGGAAGCTCACCCCTTCTGCTAGGAGAGGTTAATCTAGCACTGGAATGAGATTGGAAAACCATGGAGTAGGAAGTCCAGTCACTTAGCAGTGCGGCAGAACTACATCTAAAAGAGTCAAATAATCCATCCACTTAAAAAAAAAGAAAGTTTTTGATCAAACTAAAATTTTACATACCCTCAGGCCTTTTGAGCCCCATGAGTATGACAAAGGTTTACTAGGAATATATGGCAAATATTTTCAGTAGCTATTATAAAAATATAGGGGTAAGCAGATTAACGAGAATGAATATAGGAAATCATATGGAAATATTTTTTAGATCCCCATGTTTTTCCAAATAACTGAAGTATATTCAAATAGAGTATCAACCCATTCCAGAATGTATAGAAAGCTGAAGTTTATAAGTCAGCCCCCAGCCTATTTCCATTATTAAACTTTAATTGAGCATCCCTTAACATGCGCTTAATATTTACTAAAACTGATTTACAGTTTAAATTAAGGTAGGATATAGGTCAATGATCTTCCTCCTTAGACAATTACTCCATAGGAGTGGGTACTTCTCAATGTCTAAGTTCTGTACTTTTTAATACTTTTATAACCCATGTTTATCAGATACTGACCCTCTGTGAGACGTGCTTTGCCTCCAGTGGGCTGACACAGGACCGTGGAACAGCCCACGCACAGCACGACTGTCTGTGCATGGCTGAACACCGTCGTGATCTTGTAGCATCCTGCAGAGAAAGGACCGCCATCAGTTTCATAGTGCTAGTCTGGGAGTTTTAACGAAACTGAAAAACTAAGACAGAAACCTACCTGGACATTTGACATCCATAAAGTAAGAGTTTGGACTCTGAACGAGCCGCTTCTTCTTGTGCCTTCTTTTCTCCTCCTCAGGGGATGGGTGCAACAAGTCTTTTGCGAGCTGTATTACAAAACGGGAAACATTCAGACGTTAAGTAACGGCATAAAAATGATTTTTTTTTTTTTAATGTAAAGAAAACCGAGTGTGATAGCCCGCCATCTACTGTAAAAGATTAGATGTAAGTGAATAACTATGAAACAGATGCCTTATTCAGCTAAAATAGAAAAGGCCGATTCACATGTATGGCTGTTTTAGCATCGCCCCGCTCAGGCCCACGTCAAGGCCTACTTTACTACGTTTGACAACAGCCTGCGTGTTTTCATTAATATCTGCGATGTTGCTATAACTAACCGGAAGGTAAAGTTACTGTTAACCCAACAAAGATTTAGACCGAATCGTGAAAGTGTTCCTCGTGCCTCCGTTTTCAACCGCTTGCTAAACTGTCTCCATGTTTGCTGTGAGCGCAGCCATCTTGTGATAAAACGCGCTCGAGGTCTCCACTATAACTACAAAAACAGCATCTTTTACCACACCAAACTAGCTCGAACTGGTATCAATGAAAGCGATAAATTCTTATAAAGCTCTTCAACCCGGTATCATCTCTCTAACGTCGGTCTAAAGTACGTATTACATGATTTAACCGCCTCCTGATACTCACTGGCATGTTGGCGAGTAAATAGCCGCTGCCGAAAAGGAGGTATTACCGGAAGCAAGGGGTTCATATCGGCGTCTCTTCTGAGCGCAAGCCGGATGTGACGATATCTTAGAAACATGGCGGCCATATTGGTGAGGTCAAAAATGTAAGTTTAACTTTATTTTACTGGAAAATGAGAGAAAATGGTTGTTTTGTGCCTTAAAGTGTTTCTCTCTACTTTGGACCAGTTTCTAAACTTAATTTCAATTAAAAAAATAACAAGATAAATGTATTATTTCTTTAAAACAAATAAACAACAAATAAACTTTAATGTATTTTGGTCATTGGATATTTGGTCATTGGATGCATTCTCTATAACTTTAAATTTAATTGATAGCTCCCCATTCTTTGATCCCTTTTAAATCTGTATAATTCCTTTAAATAAAAATATAATTAACAAATAGAATGCAAAAAAAAAAAAAAAAAATGGAAAAAGGCTAGGAAATCTAAAAAAAAAAAAAAAACACCCTATTTCGCAATATTTGTTTGGTTGTTGTATTATTTTACTGTAAGCATTATTTACTTTTTAAAAAGCTACTTATATTGACTAATATACAGAATATAAATATATATATATCATTAACTCCACATAAAGAATCAACAGAACAACAATATGTAATTTTGTGTTGCATTAATCAGTCAGGGACTGGATGTGGTTGTTATGTGGGGTGATGGAGTGCAGTGGAGTGAAAACCTAGGCCTGGTGGTCACATTTGCAAGTGTACACTCCCTTTAAGACACAGAAAACCCCATAGACTGCTGGGGATAGGCACCAGCATCCCTGCCCCTCAGCAGGGATAAGCGTGACAGAGTATGGATGGATGGAATTGTTTTAAAATAAAATAAAAATGCTATACCTTCCTAACAAAATTATAATTTTTACACATATAACATATTGTGCATATATTTTTCCACTAAATTGTTTAAACTTGATTTGACCTCAATGAGCAGGTTAAAGAAAAGCTAAATCATTTCAAATTGATCCCAGTTTCTATGAGATACATATATCATCATGCTTACTTTCCTACAGTTATGACGAATATAGAAAGTTAGGGAAAAATGGTCAAAACAATTTCTTATTTGATGCTTTTATTTTAAAGCCACGTATTGAGAGTTAAGCATCAAACTAAACAGGTTGAATTAAATTAAATATTTGGCAGAAAGTCAAAGGTTTCTCTACTTTTAGTAAGTTTAACTGTGGTAAAAAAAAAAAAAAAAAAACATTCCTATTGCCTCTTATTTTATAAGACAACAAAGTCAATTTTCTTCTTCTATATCAGATTTTCCCTCCTCTTCAAACAGTTGATCCACTTTTGGCCAGAGGATTTTTGAGGGCCACCATTTCTTTTATCTGGGTGTAACACTGTGAGTCTGTAGGGAAGAGGTTTCCCTAAAGGAGAAATTGAGAGATATCAAAAATTACAAAAAGTACATATTCATTAGGTAGTACAAGAATATTTCAACCAAATGTTAAAATTTATGCAATTCTTTTACATAAAAAATTACCATTTACTTTTATTAGAATATTATAGCACACACCTATTAAATAAACCCTAAATGATTCATAGTCATTTCATTGTTTAATATAGCTTATTCATTTAAGATACGTAATTGTCTTTATTGTATCTAGAATTAATAAAGTATGCTGCGGGTAAAATAAGTATTGAAAATATTTATAGAGTTGCTATTGACATGAGATTTTCACCAGATGTGGGAAACAATCCATGCAATCCATAAATCAAACCATAGATGTCTAGAAATTAAGTTATGTTTAATCAAGTGAAATGGCAAAGGGAAAACGTCCAGTATTGAACACACTTACTGAAATGTATTGAATAGTTTGTACAAAAGCCTTTGTTGGCAATGAAAGCTTCAAGATGCCTCCGGTTTCGTGGTTCTCTTCTATGAACCCTGATCTTTAGTTATTTACATAGATTTTCTATTGGATTCAAGTCAGATGATTGGCTGGGCCATTCTAGAAGCTTTATTTTCTGTCTCTGATACCAGTTGAGAGTTTCCTTGGCTGTGTATTTGGTGGTCATTGTTTTGCTGAAATGTCCATCTAGGTTTCCTCTTCATCATCCTGGTAGATGCAAGCACATTTTTATCAAGAATTTCTCTGTACATTTTTTCCATTCTTCAATTATTTTAAGTTTGCCAGTACCTTATGCCGAAAAACAGCCCACACCACAATGTTCCCACCTCTAAACTTCCCTCTTGGTATGTTTTTTGGGGGTGATGTGCAGTGCTTTGACCACCAAACATGAGTATTTAGGCATCCAAAGAGTTCAATTTTGGTCTCGTCTGACCCGACTCTATTCCCCAAATATTTCACAGATTGTGTAAATGTTGTGGAGCAACAAGCTTTTACATTTATTTATGTGTTCAATACTTGTTCCCTATGCAATTTCGCTTTATTACACATAACTTAATTTCTGGACCTCCATGGTTTTATTTCTTTCTTTGTGTGGATTCAGAATCAGAATCAGAAATACCTTAATAATCCCAGAGGGAAATTACTTTTGTTACACGCTTCAGTTACAGTTTTATATACACAACCAACCACACAAGATAATAAAGATAAAAACATATACACATAAAGCTCTTCTGTATATATCTATATATATATATATATATATATATATATATATATGTATATATATATATATGCATATGTAAAACTAAATCCAAGTAAAGTGATAGTGACGTGCAAAAATAGTGCATAAATAAATTACAGAAGGGGGGTGTCTGAATCACTTTAGGGAGGCGTTATACTGTAGAGATTGATGACCACAGGCAGGAATGATTTCCTGTGGCGCTCTGTGGTGCATCAAAGAGCAGTCTTCTGCTGAGGGATTGCAGGGATTGTTTCTGACATCTGGAGAAAATGTCTTGTCAATAGCCCCTCTAGAAATATATTTACTGAGAAAAATGCTGGCAAATTAATTAGATACTTATTTTACCTGCTGTATTTAGTCAAACTGAAAACTAATGAGTTTATTTCTTTCTAATACATCAAGTTCATTGTTTAATTTGCATAAAGGTTATCCTGATTATTATGCAATTTAAACAATACAATAAATAAAGAGAAGTCATCAGAAAAAAGAAACTGCAGCTAAAAAGATTTACATTGGGTGACAAAACATCAATACGGTTTATTTCTTTAAAATATTAGGACAAGAAACAAAACCTAAAAGTTGCATTTTAGTGATACCTTTGTAAACTCTATTAACTTTTTTCCAGTAGATATTATGCTGACATGGTTAAATATCCGGATTATTGTAAATAACATCTGAAATTTGGGGAAACAAATGATATAGAGATTTATTGAAGAATGCAACACTAAAGCAGAAAATATAAGGATAATTTAAAAAATAAAATACAACTAGACCCTTGCCTGTGACTCTTGCTGAGCTATCATCTGTTCAAACCACTTTGTCCCGACAATCTTTACTATCTACTATTTAAGCCTCTAAGTACGTCGATCTTTCAGAATGTGGATATATCTTCTCCTGAATATGTTCAAATCCAAACTATAGTTTAATATCTTTTTTTCCTGAGAATTAATGTTGTTCTATAGGTTTACTGACAGCAGTTCTGATTCCTGTTTGGCCCAGTCCAATCTTGAACAATGTCAGATTATTAGCTCTAGTCAAACACAATCTTTTTTTTATTGAAATCAAATACACAACCCTGTTTCTAAACATCAGTCTAACTAAACACACACCTTTAAGTAAACCCATCACTCCCCCACCCCCACGTTTTATTTAGCTTTGTTTTAAAAACATGGAGAGAAAATCAATTTAAATAAAAAATAGCAGTACAAGTAGATTACAAGAATAGGTCATTTTTTTACATAGGGAATCCTCTTTGTTACACAGGCATATATTCTTAGCTATCCAGTTATTGTTGGTGTAAAACCTGACAAAAAGAAACAATCTTCTCTTCCCAAGGATATGTCAGTTCACACCTCATTCATCTGACTGCAGAGCCAAAGAAGACAAAGAATGCAAATATCAAATTTAACCCTGGAGCTTAACAACTTGGCTGCTACCCACCAATAATTCTTATAGAAGAGGTTGACATGTTTTCTCATGCTTCTCATGCTTCCATTAGTTATTACAGTAAAATAATTAAATCAAAATTTAATCAGGCTACATTTTTTTCTTTATGTTTCCTAATTTTTCCTAATTTTCTGGAAGTCTAAACCTAATTTTTACCAAAATGTTCCAGTTTAATAAGAAATGGTGTTCAGTGAATAAGGTTGTAAATGAATCAGCCAGATTGCAAATAAAATGGTTGGCTGAATGGAGTCTAGACTTCCTAATTAAGCTCTGAATTAATAACTGTCTTCTTAGTATGTCAAAGTTTTTAATGATGTCTTTCTCTCCCATCAACTGTAAGAGAGAAAAAATAACAATAACAACAAATTTAGTCTAAAACTGATGCCGCAGCAAAAAGTCCCAATTGCCCACATTCAAAGAACCTATCCAAAAGAAAAGCCTTTATTTTCTGTTGCTCCATATAGAATATGCATGTTCTCCAAGTGCATGCACATGTTTTCTCCAGGCACTCTGGCTTCCTTCCACAGAACAAAAATGCAGCCACAATGTTAGATTCAGTGTCATTGGTGTATGGTTCTGTATCCTGCTGCTGGTGCATCATCTCAACCAAAAAACGCAGCAAACAGGCAACAATGTGAAGTTTTGGAATTGTTATTTTCCCACCAAGGTGCATTTCATTTGTTTTTGTTCCCTGTTCCCTGTTGGGTGCAGCTCCATGTTCATCTTTCGAGGTCTGTGCACAGACGCCTACAGACCAAAAGCAGTTGTTGCCCCTAAGATAGTTGTAAAAACATACCTGTAGACAAAGACGCCACAGGTTCCCTCCAACTTCCTGCTGCTTTTCCAGAGATGCCAGGAACAGGGGTAGAGACTTCTCTGTAATTTTGTTTCCTAAATAAAGAATTATCCATTTTGTATTGCATCATTGACTTTTATGATCGATTTTTCATAAATCTATCAAAAACACATTGCAAATCAAGAAGCACCTTAAATATTCTGTAATGTACAAATTAAACAGGAGGTAGGGGTTTAAAAAAATCAGGGTATAGCAACTGTCTATAGATATAAACATTGTTAATATGAGATATTTTTGAACATGTACACAGACCTGAAAGATTGAGGGATTCGAGCGTCGTGTTTCCAGGCAGGAAGAGCTTTCCATCCTTGTGATACACTGAAGGGTCCAGCAGGGGGGTTCCTGTCTCCATGGTTTCTGCCTGTTTGTACAGACAGAGACGGTTAGTTCCACTCAGATGCATCAATTAAACTGATGTTTCCATAAGATATTGAAAAGCCAAACCTCACTCAGGTTGGAAACAGATTTATCCTGTAAGAGAAAAAAAAGAACCCATATTGTGTGACCAAATTTTTATATATACTTATGTATACTTTATATACTTTATGTGCAGAGGTGTCAAAAGTATTAATGTTTATTACTCAAGTAGAAATCCTACTGTTTAAAAACATGTTTTGTAGAACTTAGAAGTATGCAGTATCCATAAAAGTGTAAAAGTATAATTTTTAAAACTACTTAAAGTATAAAAGTAATGCTGGTAAGAAAATTAAGGTCAGATCCTTTAAGCTTTATACTGGTTACTGCACTACCCTATTAAAGGAATATATTTCTCTACAATACTGGATGATAACTTCCCTATACTCCTTATACTATAACTAATGTTAACAGTGTCAAATTTAACTCAGCATCATCTTGAAAAATGATTTGTTTTAGTTTGTGGTCAACAAAAAAAATGATGCAGTACCGAGTCGAACCACAAAGACATAAATTATCTGGATGATCCAAATTATTTTTAAATATCAACAGGCCATAATGAACATTAGCTTAAATGAAGAAAAAAAAAAACTAATGAGTCATTCTTTAAAAAGTAAGGAGTAGAAAGTAGAGATAATTGCAAAAAAATTGTAAGGAGTAGAAGTAAAAGTTGTCTAAAAAAATTACTCCGGTAAAGTATAGAAAGCCAAAATTTCTACTTAAGGTAACAAAGTATTTGTACTTTGTTACTTGACACCTCTATGTATGAGTATGGAGGATGTTAATATGTGGTAAAGTTTTTTTAAGCACCTCAAGAGCAGGTAACAGTTTCTCTCTGCCTCCGTTAGTTACACTCCGGCTGCGAGCTTCCTTTTTATCAGAGGCTGGAAGCGTTTTGAAACAACATCAATTAGAAACCAAATACTGCTCTAGGACACCTTGTGAAATACATCACTGACGATCACCTTTCTTGTGAGGCTTTTCCTTGACTGCTGCAGTTTTTCCATCTTTCATGGCAGATTTCTGCTGATCAGAATATTGGCAAAGGATTAGATCATTTCAGACAACAGTGATCCTTATTTAGTATTTTACCTCTTTTTGAGACGTGCTCTTCCTCGACTTTTTGTGTGAGGCAGGGTGTTCTGGGGAAAGCTGGCTTGAAGACAGTTGCTCAAGATCAGCCCTAGGAGCAGACTGTGAATATAGCAAAAACAAGAGGTTTAACACATCCGATACAAACTTAATAAATGTATAATTGTTTTTATTCCCTAAAATCCCCTTCAAAAGTATGTGATGTTGCAATCAGAAACCTCTTTTTTTTTATGTGGTTTTCCACCAAAAATGGAAGGAAAATAATGTAATGTTTTAAATAATCACCTGAACATAATTTTTTTGGCTGATGAAATATTCTCTCCAAATGTGTTTTTATTAGCTATATATGGAAAATCATCATCCTTTAACAGAGGAAGAGGCTGAAGATCAGTCCATGTGTCACTAATCTATATACAGCAGCTGGTCATGTTATTAGAAGATCATGAAAAAGTGGATTATTTGAAGTATTCAAATCAAAAAGGGAAACTTGTATATTGTATTCATTCATTACACAGACTGATATATTTCCAGTGTTTATTTCTTCTTATTTAGATGATTATAAAAAAAACATGGAAAAAAAGAAAACAAATTAAAAAAAAACACAAATTCAGTTTCTCAGAAAATTAGAATATTGTAAAAAGGTTTAGTATTGAAGTTATAAATGAAAAGAAACTATTAAAAATAATCAGTCCATGTGGAATAAATTAATATAACATACAGGTTTAACTTTTTTAAAGCAATTATGGAACTAAATAAAGTTGTTTA